AAAAAAAAAAAAAAGACCCTAGAGAAAGTTCAGGGGCCAAATTGCAAACTCGGCCCCCAGTTCAATAAGCATGGCGCATGCCCTCACATCACCTAGAGCGTTTGAAGCCCCCATAACAAGCCAGTCGTGCGCCCCAGTTTGTACTAGGCGTGCGCTTCAACTTAAAAAATGATCAGAACGGGCTTTTTTCCTATTTTTTTTTAGCTGTTTACCTTATTTGAGAATCTTTTCACACCATATATATATATTGTAAAATCCGTCTAGAACTAGGAAAACCTAGATTTTATCATAGGAGAGCAATAATTTGGAGATTTTTACATTCGGAAAATGGAATTGCATAATTTGGGTTGAAATTCAAAGGAAGAATTGAGATTTTCAAATTTTCTCTACATTCGTAGTCTCGAGTGATGTTGTGTTCCTCTCTTGTGTAATTTTCATATAATCATGCTAGGCTAATCACTTATATGTTGGATGACAAAACCTTTTGAATTATAGTGTTTGAGTCGATACTTGTTGTTTTTCAATTAATTCTCATGTTTGTGATTTCATATGCATTAATTTTGGTTGTTTTAATGCTTGCGCACTATTGGAACATATAAGTTGCTTATTTATAGTGTTGAAGAACTCACAATAGGTAGAATGATGCATATGTAACACACGGACAATAGATATTAGGAATAATATTTATAGCGTGTACGATCACGTGTGATAATCCTATAATTAAATGCATGTTTTTCATATGAATTCAGACTAGGAACATGATCAGGTCGTGTTAAACATATATTTGATATGTCTTTGAAAAGAATATTAAATAAATTCGGATATCGATTGTCACAAACATGTTAATCATATTAATCAACACAAATCGATAATTGAAATTAAAAGTCAATCGGTGAAGTAAAAAATCCAATACATTCATCTCATATTTGATAAAATTATTTTTTTATTGCTTTAATAGTTAAATTTAGCATAAAAAATCATAACAAATCTCTTTTGTTTACAATTAATCGAATTTGGTAAATACTAGTACACTACGATTAAACATTATTCATCGTGGAACAATACTTTTAACTCACTACATTATTACTTGTCAACGATCCCATACGCTTAAGAGCGTTATCCGAACAGGTTTTTGTCGCCGTTGTTGGGGAATAACGTTTTAATTCTACTTTATTAGTTATATTAAATTCAATATTTTCTTTTGTTTTAGGCTATTCATTGTACTACTTAAGTTCATTTTATTTCACTTCTTATAGGTTGTCAACAACTTATACAAGATTTTGACAAGATCGAGCTAACTCTACTAGATCCCGAGATCAAAAGAAGATTCAGACTGCGTAGAAGAGAACAAAGAGAAATAAGGATAATGTTTGGGAGTAGAATCAAATTTAGGATCCAATTCAACCACCACCACCAGATCAATAGAGACCTATTGCTAACAAGGGGCGAATATTAGTCGAGGATTATGTGAATCCACTGCCCGCATCAGTGCAACCTCCAATTATCTACCAGCCTTTCAGACAAGCTAGTTTCTACATTCGACCCGATATTATAATCTCTTCCAGAATCACCATGTTTTGATACCCCCACACTTATTTTCTTGCACACATATCATAATGATGAACAATACTCCACTAGCTCTAAAGTTTGAGTAAAGATTGTTTTCCGGGTTTAAAGCTTGTAATGTGGGTTTACAAAAGAAAAGACAATAAAGTTCAAAGGGGCTCAACAAATGGCAAAATTAATTGCAAGATAGGCTATTTGGCTAAGGTGGCTAATTTATATAACAAAGATAGCCTTAATCATATTCATGCATCCATGTGTCAATGTGATCTTGAAGAGAATCAAGCCAAGTTCTAGAGAAACAAAACCATGGAAGAATATCACACATGAAAAAAATAATGAGACTGTTATGAATGTATCAGTCTAAAAACTCAAAAACATCACCTTAAGATGACTAATTTATATAACAAATATGGCCTTAATCATGTTCGTATATGCATGTGTCAATGTCATCTTGAAGCGAATCAAAGCAAGTTCTAGAGAAATAAAACTATGGAAGAATATCACAAATGAAACAAATAATGAGACTGTTATGGATATGTTAGTCTAAAGGCTCAAAATCTCACCGATTTTTTGTCTACAGAATTTAGTTACCACCATCCTCAAAGAAAATAACTCAACCAATTAACTATAAGTTGTAAGATTATTCATTCAATCA